TCTGTTGGGACTAGAGTATTGGAAAGCCTTCCGCCTGAACCTACCACAGATCGTCTTCTTTTCTATTTCTATCCTGGAGAATCGAATGTTCATTGCTGAATGATATACGTCCATGAAGATGTATTCACTGCTGGTAACAAATCGTAAACCAAGAGTCCAGAGTGTTGTCGACGGTTTTTCTGCCGGTTTAAGTGAACGAGCAAAGACGAAGAACGAACGCGAAGATTATCGTAGCGTAAGTAAAGAGTATCCTATAAACGCATCTATTCACCGCCTTCTCCAGAGTATAATTATCCGTCGCATAAACTTCTCTGCAGACGTCCAGGCCTCGGAGATGAACCTGTAAACACATTCCCGAGCAATCCCTGGGGTGCCCTATGTTCTGGTGCGGGGCGTGACACCGCGGTATCTCCAGGGTCATTAGCGTGAGGCATGCCTACAAAAAAGAGTGCCAGCACTAGGGCGCTTCTCTCTTCACTCTCGTCCTCCCTTCGCCTGCTCCTCTCGTTGAGAATTTAATTGCTATTATTTAAGATAAGAGTACAGCGAGATGTGTGTACTCTGGCCTAAGCTTGTTAGTCCTGACATGCGATTCACTGTAGATAAAGCATGTAGGATGAGTTAATGTGAGAGTCAGTGTGGCGATCCGTTAAACACAGCTTCTAAGGAACAAGTAACGAATTCAAATGCTCAGGTGAAACTTGCGGATCATGAACCGAGGCCATGGATGTAACACCTGGAGGCTGTCGTGAGCGGCGTCTCGGTGGTGACACAATCCCGAACAGAGGCGTGAGAAGGGGAAGAAAAGAACGTGCGTCGGCGGTCTAACTGTTTTTCCGACTGGCGTATCGGTAACGGTAGTACGGTTCAGCGGAGAGACTGGTGCCCGCTGTTTATTTGTTTAGCGATATAAGAAGCAAGTATCATTTTGGCACCGGGTGAAAGGAGTTATTCGATATGTGTTATGTCTAGGGTGCCATTTCATGTTTATACGCCCTTTCTTTTCAATTTTCGTCGTCACAACTCCCGAAAGGGCTCCGAAACCCAACACACCAGAAACACAACCCCAAACCCCCATGTTACAATGTGATAAACCCTAACTGAAGTCACAGCTGCCATCGTTAAGGAGTGCGGCGGCCGCCACACGCGGGAACCAACGCGGGAACAACGAAGATAACATCTGGAGGCGGCCTAGAGATAATGGGGAGTAACCGAGAGAAGCAGCTACCGCCAGGGGGCAGAGGTGTCGCCGGGACCGATTGCCTTCGCGGGCGAGGGATCCGGGCGGGTCGAGGGGATCACGGCGTCTTGGCTGACGCGGCTCTTTTGGCTGTCCCTTTTCATTATATCTTGTTCGTTTGTTTGCTTACTTATTGATTAATTTACTAACAGCAACGACCGCCATGACCCATTACCTTAGTTATCAATGTTATTGCAAAATTATTCAGTATGTGTTTCACCTAAAAGTATTGCAACTGTAGAGGGTATCCTTAAGCGAATTCTGTGTGCCCCAGAGAGACCCTCAGACCCCGACATCGCCTGCCAGACCTTCGGCCACACAACACAAACACCTTTCAACATGGCGCCGTCTTCGCACCGCATCTCACTCACCCGCCGTAATCTTTTGCCTCTAGAGCAGACAGGGGTGTTAGTGGGGATTCGGGGATTAGAGTGTGTAGACGCAATAAATTAGAAAGAAAGGGAGCTAGGATTTCTAAATGGGCTTCATTAGGTGGTGCGAGTGTCTTGCGGGGGAATTAGATAGTGGCTGGGTGCCATTAACGGCCTCTTGTGTTATTCTAGGTTTCGGTTTTGCCTTCGTTTTTGTGGGATGTGGCGCTGCTTGATGCCTTTACCTCTAACGCTTATGACGAGGGTGATGACTTTAGGTGAGGACTTCGCCTTTGGACTGCCTAAGGCTCATCTGAGTGAGAGCCTTGGTGGTCGCGTTTGACCCAAGAGGACACGAGGCTTCTGTTGTTTTCGGCGAGGAGATCGGAGAGGTTCCGGATGAAACGAGAAATGCCCTGGAAGAGGAGGGGGGCGTTTAAGTTGGGTCTCGTTGCAATCTAATTGTTGTTCTGGAAGGCTATGCTAATTGGAGTTTTAGTTCTGAAATTATATTAACATACAGTAATAATAACTGTAAATGGAGTATCACTTAGAAAGTTATACAATGCTGTTATTAAAACAAGAGGTACATGAATACCCCCACTGCTTGATAGTGAGCCATTCATCTCGGAGATTGGCTGTACTCATTATTGTACTAATTAAACGCAAAGAGGCAGATTTAACGGAATGTGGCGCTCGCCTATTGTTAGACTATACTGGGTGGAGTTGCCTTTGAGCTTGTTTTGTCTGAAGCGTCGCATATGAAAAAGTAATTACCGTGTCATTAGCTGCAGAGACTTTCACTGAGTCTCCCTTCCATCCTTTCCCTACCCAGTTTCACGCCGGCCTCTTGAGCAACAGCCAGTGCCTTGGCATAGCTCAGACGGAG